CCTTTGAATGACGACCTCACCAATGCCCAGTGTCCGTACTCGTCGAGCACGCAGGTCTATATATGATACTGGAAAGCCATCGCCCAGAAACCAATCCATGCTCTTCCCCGTCTGGTACGATGAGCCCCTGGCTCTTCCTGTTACAAGCTCCAGTCCAACCCTCGTCGTAAGCACTTTCCGATTTTGTTTAATTCCTACTTCGTTACCTTACCCATGAAGATTTCACAGTGCCGCAACGAGAGGGTCTCCGCGCGGCCAAACAGAGATGGAAGGTTGTCGCAATTTGGCTGCCTGGAAGAGCGCAGTCGGTTTCCAGATTAGAATACTAGGTGTTGGTTGCGCAACAGACAAGAAATCGGAATCGGTTTCTGCATAAGGATACCGGACATGGTAGTTCGTTGGTATGACGCGAAATTACACAATTGGATCCTCAACACCAGTAAAGCTTCGAAATAGATTACAACCCCCTCTGTCGATAGTTCGTGGACGGGCGAGATAGTAGAGGCGCTGTGATGAGTGGTTACATGAGGGATTATCTGTCCACTCTTCATCGGCTGACAGTCGGCCGATGTCGTGATATAATATACAGTACCCGTCTTTCCCTGCATGCTTTGTTGGCTTTATGGAATGTCTGAACAATAATTTGCCTCGTCTTTATACCCACGGCATTAGGCCTTTCTCTATGCAGCAGTCCTTCTCGTCCTTCCAGGGGCGTCCTTGCATGCGCGTACCATGTTTGGTACGCTGGTCTCGCTCGACTCCGACCAACAAGACACCCTGGAGTACATTGAGAACACGGACCCTGTTTCCGCCGTCAGTCGAAATCTCCATACCAAGATACATATTGCTTGCATGTCTTGTCGCTCTAGAAAAGTCTGTGCTCACCACCAGGGAGCTTGAGAAAGCTGGCGCCCCCCTCTTCCACTGCTGCACTGGGTCTCTAACGTTGTCAAATTACAGGTGGGCTGCTCTGGAAGACAGGCGGGATGCCAAAGATGCGTCTTGATGGGCATTGAGTGTGTGTATCCGAAGAATCACGAACGCAGCAAGCGACGAGACGAAAGAACAAGCCATCGAGGAGTGCGTGACGAAATAAATCCAACATCGCACCCTTGAGTCGCTAACACACCAAAGCTCACTAGTATTGCCAAGGCGCCCAGGTGGATTGGATGCGACGGAGCAGAGCCTCGCACCAGGACAGATGCTGTTAGGCACAGCGGCGAAGACGCAGCATGGAGCGATGCGCAAGACAAACTGTTCCACGATGGCCCCAGCGACGATTCGTCATGCGTGTCTCATGGTATACGCATCCCTGCCCAACGCAGCTCAGACGGCGGGTCGAGCTTGAGCAATAGTGGAAATCCAACCTGTCAGTATTTGTTTGATCCTGCCCACGCCCAAGGCCCCAGGACCCATGCCCGCGAGGCTAACATCCCAAGTAGCCGTCATGAATATCACACCAAGAAATTCACCCTTCTCCACAACAGATCTTAGTGCCACGATGGCGCCACCTGGCCAGTTGCTGGAGACGCTGGAGACAAGCATGTTTCTGTCGTCGGTTCTCAACCCGGCGGGCATAGAAAGCACCAGCGACCAAGACTTCTGGGAAGAAATCCACACGACGCATGGCGACGACATGGCTTTGGCGATGCGTGCTGATGAAAGCGCAGCTACGGCCGTGTCGCTTTCTGAACCGCTATCCCTCGAGACAGGTGGTGGCGAGATGCGAGCAGAATCCAACAGCTGCTCCTGTCTCCTGAGCTCCATATCGTTTCTCGGCAAGCTGCCCTCCATGTTCACCTCGCCAGAGAACCGCATAGATCTCAAATTGGCCGAAATCCGCACGTCAATGGACAAGCTAGCCAATTTGACGACATGCGACAAGTGCACACAGCACGCAGAGCTCACCATGGTCTTGATCATGGCGGTACAGCAAATCAGTGTCAACTGCTGGAAGCTTGCCAAATGTTATAAATCAATCCGTCTCCGTCCCCTCGGCGGTGTCGACGACAACAGCTCGCCCGGTCACGGGCAGCGGGAAGCCGAGCATGATGCCTCTTGCACTGCTTGTCCCGTCGGCATCTCCGTGTCTACGTATCGCGTCAACCGGCGCGAGGGCCAAATCCTGCTCAAAATCCTGGTGGATTTGCAACTTGTGGAGTTTCAGCAACATGTTCATAAAATAAAGTCACGATGTCGCCACAATCTGCATCAGGGCGACGGAGAGGCCCTAGCTGACACTGAGAGATACATGAAGCGAGCACGGGATATTATCAGCCGGTCTTCCTAAAGGTTTCTTCTACTGTTGAGAGCATAGTGACAAACTATCAGAGTATGACCTGTGCTGCGCAGCGGACTGGAAACAGGCAGCCTCAAGCTACCCTAGCTCTACAACGTACGTCTAGTCAACGTACGACTTAGTTAGGCAAGGGCCAGATCCCATAGAGCTATATAAGCACGTTAGGGCTTATTGCCTACCGAGTCCCGTTTCTAGTGACTATAAATAAATAGGGAATTTCTTTTATCCAATAGAGTAAGTCAAGTCTTGAGTATCACAGCCAGACCATTCGTGAAACACACAGTTCTGCACAACAAGGAGCGACTCTATCGCAGGCGATGCAGGTGCGAAACCCCCGGCATATAATCGCAAACAATTATCGAGATCCCACGATGAGTATCCCATGGCAGTGTTTCCTATCAGCGTGTCCCCTGTGCAGTCTCTCTCCAGTTCAGGTAGATGATGGAATCTCTTGGATTCTTCTGGCGACCTCAATCCATCTCGCAGTCCACAGTTGCCGTCGAGACTTGGGCGTGAGCTTGGAAGAAAGATCGAGCTTGGCCATCTGGATAAGAGTGCTCACATACGACAGATGACCAAGGATTGATGGCTTTTGCGGCTGCCTTGCGCTCGCTCAATATATCCCGGAGGTCGTGTCGTCCGGAGAGGTGGCCTAGTTCCTGGTGTCGGAGTTGTCGATACTTGCGGCATCGCAGCAGGACGTGCGATACCGTTTGGCGTCCTTCCCGGCATGGGCAATTGGCGTCCGTGGCATCCGGCGCTCTTCTGTTGAAGAGGAAGTCGTTGAGTCCTATCTTCTCTGTTCGCATCTGGACGAGAAGCGTGCTCTGGCGCTTACTTAGCCCATCGTGTAGTCTAAGGACCTTTCTGGTCGGCCTGGGTGTGTAGCGGTGCGAGGTTCTGCCTCGCACCTCCACGTCCCACCCCGTCGCCCAGGTCTTGTGGGCTTCTTTGCGTGCCCACGTCTTTAGTGTGGAGCGGAGAGAGTAGAGCTCCGCGGGCGTCTCTGCTCGCGGCCCCGTTGCTCCCCTCTCGCGCCACCCAGTGGCCTCCTTGGCCGCTTTGTCCGCGTCTTCGTTGCCATGCACTCCAGTGTGTGCCGGGACCCATCGTATCTCGATCGGCAGGTTCTGCTCCTGCAGTGTTGTTGTCTGCGATACGATTTTTTTCAGCAGGTAGGCTCCAGGTTTACCTCTCGGTTTAGCCGAAGAACGGATAGCTGCCTGATTGTCCGTGTAGATAAGGACTTTGCTTCGTCTATATCCTTCGGCCCGGTCCCGTTGTGCCACGACGACTCGTGACCCAACATGCGACCGCATGCGCCGCCAAGCAGCCTGCACGTGACATGCCGCATGACCCATTATTTTCCACCAAACGTATCAAGGTCATCCATAAAACACCATGATCCACGGGTATCATTGCGCGGTTTCATTTGCTTCGCGCAATGATCCCAGCTTCACCACAGTCCGTGTCTACC